GGGAAGAAAATGAAAAGCTATGCTTGGGACAGGGATAAATGGGTCATGCTGGGGAGGAGCAGGGTGCACCGAAGGGGCTCATGCCATTGAGCAGTGGTAAAGGAAAGTCTGTTAGCAGGCATTGCTACTCTCTCACTTTAAGAAACTTGGCTCAACTTGTCTTTATGGTGAGATTCTCACTTCAAGGAAGTGTAGGCTGTCCCCATAGTGAACTTTCTCTAGGAGTAGTTGAGGAGATCTTACCATGCTTATTGTCTGGCAGCCACCTTGCCTGCCTCTCTCTTGACCTGGTAACTTCAACCCACTATTAAGAACTATGACACAGAAATGATATACTATTATTCATGTAATCTGGCAAGAACAACAAACTGCCAGTTGATGCATTCATAGGCAGGGAAGTTGAACAGGTGTGAAAAGTAGATGCATGACATCAATGGATTTATGGTTGACAGATGATTTTTTCATATTCATCTATATATACTGCATATACATCCAAGAATATAATAGGGCTTCCAAAGGACAGTTATGAAGAGTTCTCATTGATGACCAAATACCTTCAGGGGAAGAGGTGCTAGACCTGGTGGCTCCACACCATAGTCCCAGGGACACCAAGGTCAAGTGGCATAACATAGGCTACAATGATAATGTTCTAACTCCTGTTTTGTTTAATAACAACCAGGATTTTTCTAACTTGTGAGAGTCCATCTAAGGAGCAACTACTAGTGTCTCTCCATTCAGAGTTAAAGAAGAGTGAAAAAAATCCCAGTCATTTGGAAACAATTATTTTAATGTATTAATGGACAATAGGAATCTCAGCCTCCATGACCCTGAGACCCAGATGAATTAGATGGTGTCCAGCTGCTACCACTGCTGACTGCTTTGAAGGGGATCACATGAGAGTGAGATAAACCTGTGGAACAGAACTCAAAATCCTAAATGAAAAAAGCAAATTCAGTGGTGGAACTTCCAAGATGATGGCCCCTCTGCCCTGGAATTTAACTCATTTTCCAATACCAAAAGATTGATCTAGAAAGTGAACAACAACACCAAGGAGGCACATCCTTATAATAATCAACGATTTGAGATGAAATACAGCACATTTGCCCAAGGACAAAGTTTGGAAGGTGGAAAGAATTACAAAAAAAAAAAAGAAGAAGAAGAAGAATAGTAAAGGGGGGATGAACGCTGCTATATTATGGGGATTGCTATCAATGACATGAAACAAAATGTGTGTGAATTGTTGTATGGAAAACTGATTTAACTGATTTGATCTCTAAGCTTTCACTTAATTTATACACAAAAATTTAAATTAATAAATGAACTCTTGTTCAACAACTACAAAAAAACCCATGAAATATGTTTGTACACACAAATATAAACACAGACACATGCACACACACTGAACGTTTATGGACAAATAGAATTAATATATAATTAGCTCTTGTGGGCATCTCTTGTGCCCTAAGGTTAGCACTTGTTGCCAATTGAAGTGGCCAAAGTCCAGAGTAGGCAACCGTCGTGGTTATGACCTGACATTGTGAAAACAAATCAGAAAGTGGAGCGTTCACCAGAGTGCAGAAGGATGAGGACGCGGGAGGGAAATACTCCTTAGCAGTACCGAAGGAAGGAAACAGCAAACCTTAACAATTCTCAATCTCTCTCTGAATGTAAAAGGTCAATGTTGAATACCAGATCAAGATTCAGAGGAAGGAGAGAATATGGATACCATTATATTGAAAGTACAATGAAAGCAACATTGTAATGTTCTGTAATGCAGAAAAGCCCAAATAGGAAAGACACTGTTTGCTATATCGTTAAGGCCATCTGGTTTTTCCCTCCACAGAAAACTGGGCAAAATGAATGAGTTCTGTTTTTGAATCAGATTGTTTCACTCTTAAGATTTAAAAGAAAATATTTAATTAAACAATTAGGGAAACAAAATAAATGTGTCTTGAGAATTGTTACACTATTTAGAAAACAGAAAGAATGTAAAGATTGTTTTCAAACTTGATTCTTTAATCAAATGACATTATTTGTGAATATTGGGAAGATTGCTGATGGGACTAATCAATAGCCTGGATCCTAGAAAAAAGATGTCTTTCAGGGAAATTTAGGCTAAAACTTTATTTTATGTAATCTTTCCTACCTAATTTTAAAATAAATTGTGTTTTGTTGCTTAGGAGAAATATAATTAAATGAAAAATTTGAAGCTCTCTTGTATATATGTAACAAATACTTGGCATATGATAAATCTGTAGATTTAACTTTCCTCCAAGATCTTTGCAGCGTTATGCTCAAGATTAGAACAGAGAACAGGACCACTTAATTATTTTAAAATATAATGCTTCACCCTGATTGTCCATCTTCTCACTGGGAAAATTAATCAAGCTGCTGAATTTTTGACCCATTGCATTCTCATGATAATAGAGTCTAAAGAGTTAAAATATAGATTTTAATGATGTCTAAATAGAATCTAATTCTAATGTCTAAATAGACATTAGAATCTATTTGTGATCTGTATGATGTTTACAACTGCACTTAAGAGCAGTAACTAACATTACCAGTCGCATACATTCATACACAGTAACATGATTTGAGGGAAAAAATATCACCTTCAAAATACTACCAAAAAAGGGAAGAATGAGGATCTCCAATATCACTCTCTTTGATTGAGCCAAATTTTCTTATGTTCATTTTTGATCTAAGATGCCTTTTGAAAGAATATATTTGAGTCTTAGAAAAAAGTTAGCATTGATAGCTATGGGGAAAAATATTATGGTGTCTGCTAACTACAAATTTCTTGTTGAGTATGTCTACTGGGAAAAATAATAAATCTGGACCTAGGACCTTATTTTAAACTATGGAATTTAAGTCATAAAATATTTAAAATAAACAGGAATGTATAAAAAATAATATGATATACACATTCCTACAAGTCTTATTTAGCCAGGGTCACTATGAAAATAATACCACAAATGAATGGCCTCAACTAACAGAGGTGTATCCTCTCTCAGTTTGGGGGCCACAAACCAGAGTGCCAGATCTACAGAAGGCTTTATCTGTCTGTCCATTGGGGGGGGGGGGTATCTTTGTCTCCTTTCAACAACTCTGGACTCTGGGTCCCTTGGAGATCTCCATGTGTCTTGGCACCAAACTCCGCCCAGGACTAGGAAGTTCTCAGGGATCCTGGGTCCAAAGGAAGTATTACCTTCTCAATCCTTTCGTTCTTAATGATATTCAGGTCCCTCTGAGTTCTGCTCACTTGTTTAATTTATATCTCAAAAGAAATTAACTTAAAACATAACCTTATCTTGTAGATTGTGTTCTGCCTCACTAACAGTTGAGAGGTTAGGATTTACAATATATAGGAGAATTACACCCGACCACAAAATGAAAAACAAGTGCTTAAGTACATAACTACCCAAACATATCATTCCATAACTCCCAAATCACTGGGAATCATGGTCTAGCCAAGTTGACTCAGGTGATTTATATTTTGGATATAAGGGGTGTCATGGATTTGATTGTGTGCCCTTGAAGCCTGTTTGTCATATTTGTCTCAAGTTTATTTTCTTTAGCAATAAGTAAAATATTGAAAAATTTGACAATTCCGGAAAAGCCCTACCATACCTATGCTTTTGTCACTTCTCCCACGACTGAGATAATCATTTGGTGTGACATTCATTCCTATGAATATTTCTGTAAATCAGTAGTTATAAATAAACCTCTGGATCATTGAATCTTCCTATTTTTCAAAATGTATGAATAGTATCATAGTGTAAGTGTCCTTTGATAACTTTTTTTATAATTCAATGCTATGATTTTGAGCTTTAGCAATGAGGCATCAACATACCACAAGAAAGATAGAGATATGCATTTAGTTTTGCACATAGTTAGTTACTCTTCCACCTAAACAGTTAGTTCACCTGGACAGTGAGTTGATGGTTATAGTTTTGAATTTGTAGAAAAGTTAATGATATGCAAGACTTAACAGGAACCAGAGTCTGCAGTGAGCATAGGAAAAATGAAATATGGTACTTTACCCCCCAGCCTTTCCATTTCTGGGAGTCAGGTGCTTTCTCCTACAATCCATCCTATGAAGTCACTGAGAGACTGCAGGGTCTTTTGTGATTACACCGCAGAATCTAGCTGGGAGGTAGTCAGCCTAGATATGGTCTACATCAGGGGTCCTCTAACTTTTTTAACGGGGCAAGTTCACTGTTCCTCAGACCATTGGAGGGCCGGACTATAGTTGGAAAAAAAAAACTATGAACAAATTCCTGTGCACACTGCACATTTTTTTAAGGGTGGAGACAGACCCAGTCGTGGACACGGGGGCTTGCTGGGTCTCCTTGCTTTATTAGTTTCCAGCCGATCAGTTCAGAATGTTGGAGAGCGTGAGACAGGAGAGGGTGAGGCTGCCACCAGGAGGTCTGGAATTACTCTCCTGGGGCTGGCTTGGCAGGTATAGACTGTGGGACAAGACCTCCCAGGCCCCACCGGGGACTGGTAGGAAGACCATGGATCAGTGGCTGCTCTCCCAGGAGATTCAGGGGTTGTGCCATGGACTTGCATGCCTTAGCAGGTCACAGACCCTGGTGAGCCTGGAAGGATTTGACCAGAGCGATTCATGCAGTGACCGGGCTGGAGACGCCGACAGGGACATGGCCTTGTAGTGGTTGCATCTGCTCACACAACTTAGGGGGTCAGCATGGGCCTTGGTGAGGGCTGGAGCCCCTGTGGGAACTGGGGCTCATAGGGGTGAGACCAGAGAGGCAGGGAGGGGCTGCCAGGCGGAGGAGAGAAGCCAAGGCTGTTATGTCTTTCAAGACACAGACACCCTAAGACCAGTGTCCCAGCCTCGAGCCTCGGAGGCCAAGATGAACCAGCCCTCAGGCGCATCCTGGCACAGGGGGTAGGGTCCTCAGGAAACACCGCCCCGCCCTCCAGCCCTCCCTGCCTGAAGGTCAGTAGGCTGTAGTTCTAAAGGGGGATGACCAATGCCTGTGGCTGCTTGGGGTTGGGCTGCCCGCTTACTTACCCTGGGAGGCAGATTTGTTGCCTTTAGGGATGAACTTCAGGGAGCTGCTGAATATTCAGAAGCTGGACTGCCCCTGCTTGGAGCTATCATCGAGGAACTCGTGGCCAAGCCCGTGGCCGCATTTACCGCAGGACACCGTAAAGGCATCAGGCTGATTGCCTCGGGCCGCTTGGCCACGCTATCATCGTGGATGGTCTCCGTGAAGGCTGGCCACGGTGACGAGTGCTCCTACTTGGAGCGGCGGGAGAACAGCTCACAGCCGCACTTGGCACACACGTAGACAGCCCGAGAAGCTGCAGAAAGACAGAGTGCTACCAGGTTCCCATCCTGCTCTCACGCTCCTACAGCTCCGAGTGCACCGACCCCACCGCACAGATCTTATTTTTAAGTAAAAAAACAAAACAGGCAAAAACACCGAGCGAGCTAGATAAATGTCCTCGGCGGGCCGCATGTGGCCCGCGGGCCATAGTTTGAGGACCCCTGGTCTAGATTATGCTGAGGCTTAGAAGAGATACATCTCTTGACTTCCCCTAGGGACGCTGGTGAGTCATTTTGACCCTGTACTCTACCTGTCCCTTGTAGATCACCTCTGACATGAAAGCCCTGCACTCACCGAGATCTGCAGATCTCTTTTACCTACAATAGGCGAGCAGAGGAATCCGATGGAGGAAATCCATTTGGATTCTTTCTTGTTTGGTCCTATGCCCACTTCGATTCCCTTGCACGCCTCCTCTGATGTTCTATTCAATTTTATAGCTACGTTTTATAAAAGAATCTGAGTAATTTTTCATTTGTTTTGCATCTTTAAAATAAAAGAATAAATGAGGTTTGTTTTCAGGACACAATATTAAATCCCTGATTTAATGTCAGATACTTGTGACATGTTTATACTCAGCCTTATCCTTTGTGGAAGCCATCTCTCTTCTCTGCTTACCAAATTGCTCACTGAATGTTTCAAAAGAATCCAGTGTAGAGAATTTCTCCCAAAATCTATGAAAAGAACTGCACACACATTTCACTTTTCAGGTGAAATTTATTTTTTCAGTAATACCCACAAAATGAAATATCATATTGACCTAGTATGTCAACGGATTATGTTTTATTTCTGTTGCATTCATGCAAATGCGGCGTCATGGTAGTCTTTTAGTTCATGTTCAAATACTACAGGTTTCTTAAAAATATTTGCCTAACAAGAATGGGATAAGGAGCTCCTTTTTTACTGATATAATTTATTGCCATTCTGTTGTACAGCACTTTGATATTATTTTATAGGCTATAAAGTCTAGGTATCTTGTAAGATTATCAGATCTTAAGTATAGTTTGCTTCAAAGTGACATTTTATCATTATTTTAACTGATTTTTTACCACATTTCCATGAGCTTATCTACACTAAGAGCATATATGTATGTGCATGCACATATTTAGATCCTTGAGTGTCACCCAGTGGTCTGATGTAGTTAGCAAGACAGCGCCGAAACTCTCTAGGAAGCGGTCCCATCTGTTATTGTTCCAAAGCCATGGTTTGGGAAGACAGTGGTCATGTTTCCTTCCATCTTGAGTGTCTCTTGTTTGCTTCCAGGTGGATCGGATCGTCTTCTGTGTCTTCTTGGAAGTTGACTTCAAAATCTACAAAAAGAAGATGAATGAGTTTTTCCCTGTAGGTGAGTGAAGTGATCTGTTTCCTTCGTAACTGGGGAATGAAAAAGCGACGGTATCACTTTCTACTGAAGGCAGTTTCAAATCTGATTTCCACACATCAATCACCTCTGGCTATTTATGTCATACACTTAAAGAACAGAAAGAGGTGACAAGAAATCCGGAGTATAGACCTCATTCGGTCACTGTGCTGCGTTGGACAGGTCAGTTCATCTGTGGCCTGGCTTTCCCACTTTGAAAGCAGGGACTAAGCCTAGAGACCTGGCTAGCTCTCACAATCATGAGCTGCCATTCTTTCTCCACAGCTGGAAATTGCCTAGTCCGTGCACTTGCTTACATTCACCATGGTAAACAGCTTTGGAGAACTGTGAGGATCATTTGTATATCTTTATTCGCAGTTTAAGCTGTTCCTGCATTTTACCGGTATCCTACCAATCCTGTCACACACACACAAATTGTAAGAAAGGTATTTGTACTTTCTAAAGCAATCTGAGGCCAGTAGTCATTCACCTTTTCTCACATTTCTTTTTAGAGGGAAACCTCTGCTATTCAATTTTGACTAACTGATTAATATTGATCGGCTAAGCCATTGCCAGGATTTGGTTAACTTGAATACCCACTGCCTATCCTTTCTTCCATGCTCTACGATTGAAACTCAAAGCACAGCCATCAAGTTGTTGCAGACTCATAGCGACACTCTAGGGCAGAGTACACTGCCTCCTGTGGGTTTCCAAGGTGGTCGGTCTTTATAAAACCCTAGCTTTCTCCTTTGGAATGACGGGTGGTTTTGAATTTCTGACCTTGCAATTAGTAGCCCAACACATAACCACTATGCCAACAGAACTTGTTCAGTATTAAAGCTTGTTCAATGCCTTATTGTTTGTATGGTGCCATTTAAGCCATAGTGTTGTAACTGTTTTCCTTTGCTATGATAAAGAAATACTTCTTCCAAGAAATGTCAAGCCAGTGGGAACATGGTTGGTATCTATTTTTCTGACAGCTTAATTTTAAAGGCTTGAATCTCCATTTGAGGTGGTTTTCCATTTAATAAGTGACTCTGGCATGTGAAAGGGGGTTAATACAGGACTGCTGGAGCACAGCCCCCCTTAGGCAGTCACATAATAAAGAGGGTGGCCTCCCACTGACCAGAGCACTCAAACTTCAAGCGCAAGTACTGCTAGTGACGAGCAACACTGTGCTAATTTCCAAATGGTCTGAATTCTAGGATATGTCCTAATTGTGTAGTTAAAAATGAATCAGCGTAGTATATTTAATGCTGGCTTCAGAGTATTTCCCTAATTAAAATAAAAAATTGGAAATTTCAAAGACTCCCATGTGATGATGAAGAAGATGGTCGCAGTAGTGACTCCTCCTCTTCAACTTTCTCCTCCTCATCTGCTTTTCTCCTCTTTTCACTTTCTAAGCAACTCGGTGTTTTGTGGAATGCAAAGGAAAGAATAGCTATTTAATAAGTAGTTGAGATGAGTTGAATTAAATAAATGTCTAGCAATAAGTTAATGGGTTTTTTTCCTCTTTCATCTCCTTGGTTCATCCTTTCTCTTGATTTTCTTAAGTGGATTGGCAAATTTATTTTCAAACATTCTTAAAAGGAACTTTCATCATGTAAAAGAATATAACATGCTGTGATATCAATATTCTTGTCAAATTTTTAGCATACTTCATAAGAGTTTGTACTTCTTGAGATGTTTTGAAATAATGATATCATATTTTTATTTTCTAAACTAATAAATGTTTTACTCTAACATAAGAGCAATACTTCATACTTATGATCCATGGATACTAAAGCAAATCTATCCATCAACAGTATTGGCCATGATGCAAAACTGAAAAATAATTCTACTAAAACTGACGATTTTGGTGTTCAATAATATATTAAAATCTATGCAAATAATTACTTAAAGAAGGGTTACTCTAAGTAAATCTGAAAATACATCTTGTCAGTAGAAACAGCTAATTAATAATGAAATAATCCTTAGTTTTATGTTATTGTTTTAAATGGCATGCCCTGTTCATGAAATAATGCTTAATATATGTAAAGGGTAAATATATTAAACTATATGTTAAAAACTCCCAATTCTAGAGAATTTCTAGAATGTTTAGGCACTAGCCATTTGAAAATTCTAAAGGTAAAATATGGAAATAAAGGTGGTCACTAATGAAATATGTAAGTGCTTATTATAGCAAATGAGGAGGCCTGGTCATGTATTGAGTTATGCTGTGGACTGTGAACCACCAGCTCCTCTGTCAGAGAAAGATGAGGCTTTCTGCTTCTGTAAAGATTTACAGTCTAGGAAACATACAAGGATGTTGTGCTCTATCCTACAGGGTCTCTACAAGTTAAAATAGATTTGATGGCAGTAATTTTTTAGTTTTAATATATCAAAACCTAGCCCACTTCCATAGATCCTGACTTATAGCTACCTTGTTTCTGAGATTATAAATCTATATGGTATTGGACAAACTCATCTTTCTACTGACACGGTTTTCAACTGCACATCCCACAGCACATTATCAATGTATGGAGATATTTGGGATTTTCAAAGTTGGGGATGTCTCTAGTAAACAGAGGGCAAGGCTAGCCTTGCACATGGTAGCCTTCATAGCAAGTAATCTGTTGTGCTGTTCTTAGCTGCCACTGATTCAAACCCCCCAACTCATGGAAATCTCGTGTACACCAGAGCAAAGTACTACATTGCCTTGCATGATCCCCTTGATTGGTTGTGGATTAGATTATGGTGGTGTATGGACTATGTCATTGGCTGATTTTCTGAAGGAGATCACCAGGGCTTTCTTCCTAGTCTGCTTTAGTATGGCAGTTCCTCTGAAGCTGTTCAGGATTTTATGAACACAAAAAGTATCCACTGACAGAATGTCAGTGACAGTTATGCTGCCTGGAAATCAAACTCAGCTCTCTTGCATGGAAAACAAGGATTCTAACATTGAGCCAACAACACTAGTTTCCACAGGGATATGAGTCATCCCAGTAATGTAAGAGGGCTCTGACCTCTCCACCCCCTCACCAGCATTTGTGTTTTCTGTTTCTAACTTTGCTGTTGATTTGGAAGTGAGATGATATTTGATTGTGATTTTCATTTGCATCCCTCTAATGATGGTGCTATAGGATTCTGCTGGACTATTAAATAAAAAGTCTGCAATTCAAACCCATCGACATCTCTATAGGAGGAACATTAGGCTGTCTGCTGCTGTTAAGGTTTACAATCTTAAAAATGCTATATAGGCTCTCCATGAATCAGATTGGCTAAACGACAGTGGGCTTGGTTTGGCTTTTATGGCTATTGATGATGGCCATTTCTTCATGTGTTTGTTGACCTTCTGAATGTCTTCTTGGGTAAAGTGTTCATGTCCCCTATTCACTTTTTACTTGGATGGTTTTGTTGTTGTTTAGATATTATTCTTTCTTAATAAAAATGTAGAGAGTATACGAACTGCTGGAGAGATTGTAAAAGAGCTAAACCACTGTGGGAAATAGCATGACACGTCCTTGGAAAGTGAAAATAGAACCACATTTGGAATAGAACTACCATTCTATCCCTCAGTCCTCTACTTGATAGCTATCCTAGAGCATCAGAGCTTTGAGGTGGACGTATATATTCATTATGTTCATTACTGCACTGTTCACAATAGCAAAACATGGAAACAGCCCAAATGCTCATGGAATGCTACACAATGTTAAGGAATAATGAATCTGCAACCCATTTCAACAACATGAATGAATCCAGAGGACATCATGCTGACTGAAATTAGTCAATCACAAAAAGGCAAATGTGGAGACCACTATTATTAAATGACAAAAGGTTTTCACACAAAAGAAACATGTTTTCATGGTTACAAGAGATGGGAAAGGAGAGTCAATCATTAACTAGAGTATAGACACATTCATTTGAGTGAAGGGGGAGGCAATATAGAGTAAAGGGAAGATTAGCAAACAATGGTCCAGGCAAAGTAATACAATAATTAAAAGCAACAAAGGTAAATATCTAAAAATCTCTCAATAATAGTAATATCCAATAACAGTGATCTCCATGTGTATATACAGAAACCTAAGCTGAATAGATACAGGAGAATGGGATTATGTGTGGGACAAAATTATGGAAAGAAAAAACCCAAATGTCCTGCAATTGAGTTAATTCTGACTCGGAGAACCGCACCTGTGTGTTCTCAGGACCGTAAATCTTTTTTCTTTTCTTTTTTTTTTAACATTTTATTAGGGGCTCATACAACTGTTAACACAATCCATACACACATCAATTGTGTAAAGTGCATTTGTACATCGTTCTCAAAACATTTTCTCTCCACTTAAACCCCCGACATTAGGTCCTCATTTTACCCCTCCCTCCCCGTTTCCCCCTCCCTCATGAGCCCTTGATAGTTTATAAATGGGTATTTTGTCATATCTTGCCCTGTCTGATGTCTCCCTTCACCCACTTTTCGGTTGTCTGTCCCCCAGGAAGGAGGTCACATATAGTTTCTTGTAATCGGTTCCCTCTTTCCTACCCATTCTCCCTTTACCCTCCCTGTTTCGCCACTCACACCACTGCTCCTGTAGGGCTCATCCACCCTGGATTCCCTGTATTTTCAGTTCCTATCTGTACCAGTGTACATCCTCTGGTCTAGCCAGACTTGCAAAGGACCGTAAATCTTTATGGGAGCATACAACCTCATTTTTCTCCTGTAAAGTAGATGGTGGCTTTGAACTGCTGACCTTGCCATTAGCAGCCCAATGTGTAATCCACTATCCCAACAGGTCTTCTGTGAAAAGAGGAGTAAGGGGAGAGAGAAGAATAAGAAGAAAGAAAACTTTATTTAAAAAGAAGGGCACAGCTCTGCTTGGTAGCTTTTGATAGTGGGTTTAACTGGCTATTGAGTAGATGGAATAGAATTCCCATTTGGTCACCAAAAGGTTGTGTGCAACATGGTGGATGAAATCACACCTCTGTGCTCATGGATCACCCATGCATGTGCC